ACCTGCTCCAGGGGTGCTGTATAAATGGGTAACCCTGTGCTCTGACCCCCAGCTTCTCTCCCTGTCTGTGTGTCTCGAGAGAGCAAGCTGAGGTATGTGAAGACAAATTCCTAATACAAGAAATTGTATATGGCTAATAAAGAGATCTTAGTTATTTACTAACTGGACACCTGATAGGTATCCAATGTAGAGACTTAAGTGCAGGAGTGATCTTACACTGCCAGGGTCTGGTCTGGTCTGAGTTAGTAACCTAGCAGCAGAGTTATGGAAATACTGGATAAGTGGCGGCTAAGCAGCAAATGAATAAGAAAATATGAATTAGTAATAACTGAAGATGTAACCATTTGGAAAAACCCATCTGGGTTATCGTTTACCTTTGGACAACTTCAGCTCTGACACTTAGGGGTCTGGCTTGAACACCTGCTTTATCAGCATGTTTAATAAGGATCCTTGAAAGCTTAATGTTAATGCCATAAATTTGTCAGGAGAGTTTTCATAAGGGTAATCTTAAAAATAGCTTAATTGTTCTGCTCCTTGGTCACATGTTATGTATCCTATCTGTACGCAAAGGACTATCTACATATGTGCGTTTATCAATGCATCACATAATGAGAGTCCCAGAATAGCCACTTATTATGGTTCATGGGCTCAGAAATCAACTGTTACCATATCAGTGTTCTTGACAACGTCAGAGACCTGTACTATGGACCTGCTCTGACCTTCACAGGACGGAAACAAGCAGTAAATCTCTTGAATAATATTAACAACAAGCCTATAAACAACAGCAATGGTTTCTATACCGGCTAGTATACAGACTCAGAAGTCTCTCTAGGGCTTGTATACAGTTAATGCGTTGTTGCTGTCCCTGCAGGTCTTGCATGCAGTGTCAGAGGTCTCCATGGGATTTATATACAGTACAACTACAACTTGAGGCTGAAATGTTAAACACAAACACAGGTTTGTTTCCAGCCACACTGGCCTCTAATTCTCCCTCCAGCTGAGCTCTGATTGTCAACACTGAAGCAAGTGCTTACTAAAATGGCACAAGGAAGGAATCTATGCCTGACCCTCTGCTTTTAGAAGTGGTGAGACTGCCTGTGGCCCCAGCAGGACAATGGCTTTCAGTAGCTCAGGTGTGCTGTGCTCGCAGGGGAATACTCCAGTGGCCTGACCTTCTAAAGCATTCACTTCTAAACCTTTAAACTGGCTTTTTTTAGCCAGGAATCAAAAAGAAAGGTCATTTCCTCCATTTGTCAACAAACCTCCTGTCCAGTCCCATGGTGAACGGACAGACACTGCCCCTCCTTGCTCTCCTTAAGGCCAGTGACCCCAGGGAGCTGACAATCATACAGTACAGCAGCTTAAAAATAAACCAGCAACCCATGGGCCAAGGGCTGTGTCTCCCCCGATCGATTTTGTGACACTGTTATCGCCTTTCCTCCACTGAGACACATTATGACTACTGAGATAATTATTCTAGCAGCGTGACTAATCATCATTCTACTGTGCTTACATCAACGAACAAGGGGCACTGTTCCATTAACAGCTTCCTCAAACCCCCATCCCCATAGTCTCAAACATGCTCATCAATGAAAAGTCAATGAACAAACATGAAAACAAAACACACTACACATTCCAGTTTCAATATCCCAGGAGAAACCTTTAACATCACCCTGTCCTACAGCTAATGACAACACCAGTTTCTGCTGGAGTGTGTACCCAGTGCACCTTCCTCCTACGCTGTGTTTAACCATGGGGTGGTTTTGTCTTTCTGTCCAGCAGTGTCTTTGTGTCTCAGCGTGAACCAGCACTGGATTCTGACCTTGAATACACTGTTGTAGAGCGATTTCACCTCTCTGATAGTTTGCAGCTTGAGAAAGGGAAAAAATCAACCACGTATAAGACAGAAATGATAAGATCACTTTATTAGCCATATACAATATCTTAGCATTAGGAATTCGTGTTGAGGTGTTTCATTTCTAATCTTTCGGTTCGTTCCATTTGTGCTCCCCAAGGAGAGAAGAGATGGAAGAAGAAGAAAAAAGGCACAAAAAAGGGAAAATACAGGAGATGCAGATTTAAAATCCAGTCCTCCTCCCCACAATCCTGAATGACGTGAGAGCTGCTCTGTCAGGCTGTACCAGGCACTGTGCGCTAATAAAACACACCCAGTCTGATAACACAGCAGCAGAGAGACCAGAACAGAACTGCTCTCACCTGTCACACAGTA